GAAATTTGCCGAGAAAGGGAGTGAACTTTGTTAGAAGGAGAAAGTGATGAGCTTTTAGCCTAGACGACATCACTCTTGAATAGAAAGTGTTCCATTCTATGCTAAACAACCTAATATCTAGGTCCGGTATACATTTCCATTAAGGATGACACATAGACAAGTAATGTTCATGCAAAAAGTACGATCGGTACCCCAAGTAATTCAAAAAGTACATATCTAAAAGTAGTCAAAATTGGTATTTCAACCCGTAAGAGTTAAGTAACGAAGATTGTTATTATTTCAATCTATAGTTGTGCGACTTCGTTGTTGATAAAGTTGAATGGCATCGGAAATGTGCAGAGGTGTGCTATATGATGAGCAATATGGTAGAGAAGGATCAAGAACGAGTACAGTGGCTCAAAAAAGGTTTGCTGGAATTATCATCGATTCTTCAACTTGTAAACTAGTATTCTATTGGTGATTATGGCCACCACACTTGAATGCATTTTAGGCCGAAGACATGCGATGGATGCTTATGAGTTGAATCCTGTAAATGTTCCAATCCTAAAAATCCTTTGCTCAACAACTGGACGATTAGCAGAAGAAAGTGGACTAAAGGAAAAAATTAACCTCGGATTTGAATTTAAAGTGTGTTAGTTCTAAAATTGCTGTTAATATGAAATAACAGTTTCTCAAATGGCTACATCTCAGCTCTCTACTGCTATAATGTTGTACTATTGTTTGATTGACTAAATCAATGGGTTAATCCAAAATTCTTTGCAGAAATACCTCGATCAAGCTGTTGCTCTTGATCCCTTTTCATTCGAGCTTCTGCATATGCGAGGAAGGTTTGAGTATCAAGTTTGTCCTGCTTTAAATCTTTTCTCAGGGAAAGGATTCATTGAGAGACTGCATGTTGTACAATGAATACTCATTAAGGTGTCAAACTTAAGTTTCTTCGAAAAACTAGCCGCTAGAGCTATTGGGACATTGCCCACAGCATCACTTGACGCTGCGTTAACGGATTTGCTGGAGTTAAGCTATTCAAACAATGAATAATCTGCATCCGTTCAACATATCTAATTTAGGCAGAACAATTACGCCCCGGAGTAACAGAAAACAGACTTTATATTGGTCGAGTTCTTCATGCAAAAGGTGACTATATAACTGCGAAGAAATGGCTAACCCAAGTAAGTTCAGTTTGCGTATAGTGACATTCACAAAGCTACAGAAATGTTCATGAGGCTTATGAAGTTTAATATATTCCGTGTATGTTCTTCAAATATCATCAATTGTTTTGCCTCCGCTGCGCTCAAAGAGGACATCCTCTTGTCTTTGTATCCGTTTTTTATTTGTGTAAAAGTAGAGACAAATTTGAGGGGTTACATGCACAAATCCATAATAAGGCAAAGTCGACTTTTGCCCATTTTATTTGTGCTTGAAAAAAGAACAGCTTCTTATCGCTTGGGCTTAAATTTAACATGAACTTCCATTTAAAGATTCTGCTAGCTTCAAGGGTGGTATCCCAGAAGCGTATTGAGATGAAAGCTAATCCCTTTGGGTATATTCTTAGCATACGAGTTGCAAACTTTTGTGATAACGTTTATAGTTCATTTATGCTCTAATCTAAAAGGGACCTTTTCCAAATCACAAAATAGCTATATAAAACACTAATAGAAAGCCTTCGCTTCAAGCAGCACAATAGAGAATTTCCTGATTTCTTACGTAGCAAAGATCATTCTTATAAATAAGCTTCTGATCCTGCAAAGCCACAAATAAAATTCTGCTTCAGCCCACATGATCAAGCGCAGTGAGACTGTAGTATGCCAAAATCTTTGTTAAACGTTGAAAGTCACCTTGCTGTTATGGAGTTTCTGCTGTTCTCAAAACTTTTCAAGACAGGGTCTTGAATCAATGTTAGCACTAAAGCCAATTGAAAGGACTCGAATTAACCAATAATTGAAAGAGAGAACATGTTCACATTCATCAATTGAAAGAAGCAGTCATCAAGCTAGTAAGCATGGAGTAACTCCATTTCATTTGCGCAAAACTCCAGTACAAGATATGAAAATATGATCCCAGAAGTCTATAACCAAATGTTGCATCATAGTCATTGTAGGACTGTTGTCCATTAATCGAACAACACTGTACTGTGTAATAATTCTCTTTTAGGCTGCTTGTGCTAAATGCGAAGAAGACGAGTCAGTGGAACGCGAGCACATCAGTGCTGCTCGCGAGTTATTGCTGAACAGAGTTTATCAAAAGTAGCGATAGTACTTATTCGAATTGCTCCTTGAAATGAGTGCCATTGTTCATCATTTCTTTCTTTTCCATATATGATATTTATAATTAATCAATTGAATGAAAATGAATGCGAGGAACTATGAGTAGACTTTGTGTGATCGATTCAAAACTCAGCATCCATGTTAAGCTTTTGCAATGAACTTTCGTTGTTGTCCCTCACCTACCCTACATTTCCTCACTACATTTCTCCCTCATCTCTCAAAATATTTTCAGATATAAATAACTTAATGAAGGAGCAAGGTTTAAGATTGGTTTACCAGGACATACTTGCTTGTACATGAATACCAGGCTGCTACCTTTCCATTTTGATAAAAGCATGTGAATATCGCTAATAATGTCTTCTGGGAGAAGAGTTTAGATTAAAAGCTGTAGATAAAGAACAGAATGTAAAATTAGAAGTATTGGATAATTTTAGCAGTGTAACATGTCTCTGAAAATAAGTAAGTTTTTACTAAACCTTGATATTATCTGGGGTGGTAGTAATTTGAAAATGAAACTGCGAGTTTCAAGCTCGCAGTAACATATAAAAATAAAGAAAATCCAGGATTTTGACACAGGAGAATGCACCGGTAAGATTTTTAAACGTTTACAAAGATTAAATTCCAAAAGTTTCGAAACCCACATAAATAGTTTGTTTAACTCTGAGCAAACTCGGAGTTAACTCGCAGTTAACCTGCAAATTAGCTCGCAGTTAATAAAACTGCGAGTTTCAGTGATAAGGCATAGCGTTGTAAGAGATAGAAACACAAGTGAACAGTGTTCATATCACCAAGAAGTTCTAGCGAGTACTCAAGAATAGAGACACAGATATGACAGTACTAAGGAATGAGCACTGTCATATCTGTGTCTCTATTCCTAACAACAGTCTCATCCTTTCGTTGTAACTTGGAGTTAACTCGTAGTTTCACTTCATTTGACTGCCAGCTTACATGGCGGCTGACTGCGAGTTAGCTCCGAATTTCAAACCAACATGGGGGATGTTGACACGAATATCGCCCGTTATATGCGTGACACGTTAGATCAAGCTATTACACAACGCACAATATTAACATATCATCCCATAGAATCTCTCTTTGGAAGG